AGACATTTTGACTGGGTATGGTAATGTGGGTTGGCATCTGTCATCATTTAAAACTGGGAATACTTTGGTCCAGGCTCTTCTGGCTTTGATAGTTTGCACTACAAAGTCCCTAATGGGTTTTCCTTTGTATGTGACATGTTGTTTCTCTTTTGCAGCTTTCAGTATTGTCTCTTTGTTCTGTACATTTAGTGTTTTTACTATGTTGTGCCGTGGAGACTTTCTTTTCTGGTCCTGTCTGTTTGGTGTTCTATATTTGTATGGGCATGTCTTTCTCTAATTTTGGGAAATTTTCTTCTATGATTCTGTTGAAGATCTAGTCCATGCCATTATCTTGGGATTCTTCTCCTTCCTGTATGCCTATGATTCATAAGTTTGGTCTTTTTATGGTGTCACACAATTCCTGCATTTCCATTCTTGTGCTTTCTTAAATTTTTCATAATCTTTGCTTGAGTGGTCTAGTTCATCCACAGGCCTCTCTCCAGGCTAAGTCTGTCATGCCCTGTGCATCTTGACTCGAGACTTTCTCCTGTCATTTCTAATTGGCTTACTGAGTGTTTCACTTCCTTCTTCATTTCAGCCTGAGAATTCTTCAATATTTCTAGCTCTTTTCTGAATTCCTCCAGATGTTTATCCCTATCTTCCTTCAGTTCTTTGGTTTCTTTCTTTGTGTGTTCTTTAAATTCACTGAATTCTTTTATGTTCATAGTTGTTCTTTTGATTTCCATATCCTGCATTATCTCTAGGAGGTTCTCATTGTACTCCTTTAGAGGACTATTGGTATTTGGTGGGGATTTGTTATTTTGGTTTTTTATGTTATTTTTTCTCTGTAATTTTGACATGTGAATTTCCTTTGTAGTTTCTGATTCTTGTGTGAGACTCAAGCCTTCAACTTTAGGTCTGCTTCTTTTTGTAAACTTTATGTGCCTTTGTGGTTTGCTTTTTGGGGATGAAAAGCAGGTTCCTTTAAGCTTCCAGTTCTCTCTTTTGATTTTATATTGGAGTAGCCAGATTGCTTTTGTCTTCAGGAGTTCCCACAGAGGGCCAAGTCAGATGAGAATCAGATGCTCTCAGGCTTTCTCCTGAGGTCTGGATTCCTCCAGGACAGATTTTGGCCTTAGGAATTTGGGGGTTGAACTGCCCTGGGATCCTGGCCCAGAAACGATGCTGGTCTCAGGAAGCTGTCGGCCTTGCCACCCAGAGATGCAAAGGGAGATGTGGAGGGAAGAGGCCCCAAGGGCTCTTGGGGACTGTACTGAGGAACTGGGTTGGTCTGGATACAAAGGATCAGGTAACCAGAGAGGTCAGCCCTGGTGTCCAGGAAAGAGGCTGGTGGGTTGTGCAGCCCAGGGAAGCAGAGGTAGATGAGGGGTGACCGGGCCCTTAGGGCTCCTGAGGATCTCGAGAAGGAACTGGGTCTGTCTGGATGCAAGGAATCAGGAAGCAGTGGTGGTCCTGGGCTGGACCAAGAGGTCAGCCCCTGCGTCCAGAATGAGGCTGGCGGGCCGTGCACCCCAGGGAAGCAGAGGGAGGTGAGGGTGACACCAGGCCCAGAGGGCTCCCGGGAGAGAGGCTGGCGGGTTGTGCCGAAAAGAAACTTTTATTTTTTGGTTTCACTAGTGCTTAATATTATGTCTGGCATAGTTTAAAAAAAAAACTTTTAGTTAATGTTGTAGTTATGTTAAAGAAATGATTTTTTAAGGTAATAGTATTTTATAAATTTGTGAAAATGAACCTTTTCTACTAGGCACCTATTTCATCTGCCTTATCAAAGAAATACTGAGGCAAAGCTGCACTTTTTGGAGGCCATTCACAGTATCTAACCCTACTTACTGGACTTTAGGAGATCTGAACCTGGATGCCCTTACATACTATTCAAGAGAAGTAATGGTTTCAAGCTCAGGCTGTGGTGTCAAAGCTTAAGTTCACATTTCTATTGCTGCTCCCTATTTTCATGACTCTGGATAGTCTGTTTCTTTTACTGTTAAAATGCTATTGGTAATTACTCTTGATTGTTATGAAGGTTAAATAAAGTTATCTATCAAGCATCTGTCACAGAATAAGTGGTTAGAAAAAATGCTAATGATTACTGTTGTTACCATAGTGATCATCCTCTGCTTAAACAGCCTTGCATATAGTAAAAATCATTCAACATTATCAAATTTTTAACTTATATAGATGGTTTTTCAACTGTTTCAACCTTTAAGTTTGTAAATTTAAATATTTTGACCTTGAAATTTGGCTCATTTTAGACTCTTGTGACACAGAAAGGGACAATAGACTTCAGATTGGTGATAAAATTCTCATTTAGCTTACTCTCAGATTTCACATAAAATGGTGGATGTACATGTTATGGGTACATATTACTTAATCCTAATTTCTTATAGCTTATTTAAAGCAAGGAGCAACTCTTATTGGATTTTATATTTAGCTTTCCAGTGTAAGTTAACAAATTAATTGAATAAATATATAACCTTCAGTTTTCTAATCTGTGAAAATGAGATGGATCATCTCTAAAATTACTTTTAGCCTTCAGATGTTTTGAAAATAGTGAAAAGAGAGCCCCAGTATGGGAGAAAAAGCTACTGACAGAGTAGAAGACTCCCTAGTAGTTTTATTTGGTTCCTTGAGTTCATGAACAGTGTCTATGTCCCGGTATGTGCAGATGTTAGTTTAAACCCTCTGTTCAAACATGTTTGTCCAATGTTTCAAGTCCTTCCTTCTGTATTACCAGTGTTAACTAAGATTTGTAACCATTTCAAACAATGTCAAGACTGACCTTGAATAGTAAGAGGAAGATAGTGTGAATGCAAATTTGCATTACCCCCACAGTAGAAAACTTAAGGTATTATTTCTTTTAATGTTCATGTTTAAAAGGAGCTTTATAGGTTCTCTTTCTTTGACATGAATTGCTGAGATCTATCCTTAAGGGCATAGTATGTTAGAATGCCTGTACATAGCCTCAGATTTAAATATAGCTGTTTTTAAGGCAAATTCATTAATATGTATTGAAATCATTTAGTATTTTCATTGAATTATTTTGAATTTATGTATAGTTACTTATCATGGAGGGTTTTTAGGCATTTTTCAATAAATTAACTTTTTACTGAAAGATTCCAGCTTGGTGCTAATTTCTTGACTCCCTCTACATTTTAATTGTGTGTTAGGTATTTTCAAGGACTTTGAAGTTCATTAGAGATTAAACATAATATGGGACAAAAGTAGAAACAAAGTATTCAAACACTATAGAGAGGAGATTATAAATGAAAAATTAACATTCTGGTCCACAGTTGGTTATTGCTATTTTGTGCATATTTTAAAAACACAGTTCAGATATACTTATGCAAAAATGTACTTGCATGCACATGGTGGAATTGTTTTGTTTTGTTCTATTTTTGCCTTTTGTTTCTAAGACAAAGTCTCCCTATTAGCCTAGACTGGCCTTGATCTCAAGATCCTCCTGCACAGCCACAATGCTGGGATTATAGGGAGGTGTCATTACACACATATGCACTGTATAGACTGTATTTTCCTAGTTTATTCCACATTCTTGTCAGTGACCTGGTATACAGTTGGTATTCAGTAGAAATTTGACCAAATTATCCAGTATTCATTCATCACACAGCGACTACTAGTACTTTATTTGTTCATTTGGGTATATTTAGTTCTTACAGTACTGTGTAAGTTTTCCAAGATACCTTTTCAGTGATCTAGAACTAATTTTTCTTAACTACAGTAAATGTCCATAAATACAAATAAAACTCCTTTTACATGTGGTTTAGAAATCATTCTGCATATCTTATATCAGACTATATAATGGATTTAGTTCTCAGACTTGATAAACCTAAAACAGGTTTTGCTCGTTTACCAACTATGATGAGAATTCCTAGTCATTAGTTGTTTAGTTATAAAGTGAATTATTAAGAAGTTACAGAACAGACATCCTGGTCTATGAAGAAATATTTTGTGGTTGAAGTTCTTATTACAGTGTGGTAACTTTGGGGCATTTTGTTGTGATTTTTGAGATGAATTCTCTAGGCATGTTTTGAACTCCCGGGCTGTAATGATCCTCCACCTTAGCCTCCCATTTAGCTAGGACTACAGATGTGTGCCACCATGCCCACCTGGTAGCTTTCTTTTTTAATAGAAGAGGTAAATTTTTCCTCTCAATGTATTAGAGCATTTGGACCGTGAAATTCATTTGCTTGTCCTTGAAAAGAACTAAGTCTGAACAATGGCCCTAAAGCTTAGATAGGCAGTCAGTTTTCGAGGTAGCAGTGTCCTAAGGCATGCTAATCACATATAACTTTAAGAGATATAAAATTATATTTATAGTTTCTGGTTTTACAAAATTATCTATACATACTTAGATATGGGGAAGCATTCTGAAGAGAATATTTAGAAATTCAGTGTTTCTTAATTTATTTTTATTATTTTTATGAGTGTTTTGCCTGCACACACGTGCACACACATGGCACACGTGTGTGCAGTGCCTGTGGATACCAGAAGAGGGCATTAGATCCCGTGAAACTGGAGTTGTAGATGGTTATTAGTCACCATTTGGCTGTTAGGAACTAAAGCTGGGTTCTCTGCAAGAGCAGCCTGTGCTCTTAACCACTGAGCCGTCTCTTCAGCCCCTCAGTGTTGTGGGGGGTTTTGTTTTGTTTGTTTGTTTTTATGTTTTAGTGGGGAGTTGTCTTTTGGGGTAGGGATTGTTACTGATTTTTTTTGGAATTTCTTTTGTTTGGTTGGTTAGTTGGTTTCTGGCAGCACTACTGGTAATATGCATTGTACATGCATTTTCCCTTAGTTGGACAGATATTTGGATAGGGAAACATGATTATTATTTTAATCATTGGTTTGATCATTTTTTACCTTTTTTATTTAATAGAATTCCTAGAACTTAGAGTCACAATTTTAATAACTAGAAATATTCATGAGTATTTTAATTTTAATCCCTTATGTTGCAACTAAGTAAAAATCTTTATTTTTCTCTTTTATAGATCGAGCTGGAAGCATTAGTACTCTTGATTCTTTAGACTTTGCAAGATATTCAGATGATGGTAACAGGGAAACAGATGAGAGAGTGGCAGGTAAGACTGGAAAGACAGATTTGGATTCTTTGACATTACAGATTAATAAAATGGCTTGAGGAATTATCTTCCTCCTACCATATGGTATGTTACTGTAATGTATGTAGTTATTATATAAAGTTACTAATTTGTTACTAATTTCTACTTTATTAAGTTTGGAGATACCCTAACTTCCTGTTCTGGTGGTGCTAAGAGGTTTTAGGTATATACACCTACAATTTGCTGAATTTTCATCATAGCGAGCTATTTATACCTATTATAAAATAAGCTTAAGTTATCAGTTGCATCGTACAAAGTTAACTGGATGTTAGCCTCATTCCCTTGGTACTTCAAGCCAGGGCCAATATATATATATATATATATATATATATCAGTGTCACTTGATTTTTCAAAACTGGTTGAAGAAGCTCCATTCTCATTGTTGTTATACTTTGCCTTGGGTTCCCTGAGTGTTCCAGTGCTATCACGTTTCCAGAAATTCCTGAATTACCTATGATTCAAAGTGTTGATGCTTGGTACCACAGGGTCTTCCCGGACACTGCCCATGATAATAGGATAACGTCTTTTCTAATTTCCTTAGTTGCTCATTCCAGTCTCCTTCCCCTTCTATCCCCTAATTTCTTTCTCACTAGTCCTTACTGATAGATGTCTGTCACTACTGGATTAGTAGGGACTTCTGAGGACCAATTTGATTTATCTTGTATTTTCTCAATGCCATTTGAACCCAGTGAGAATCTTGTCAGAATCTATCCTGGAATTTGCCAGTGTAGAAGCTATGGCTCCCTCAAGTCTGTAACTTCTGCCGTTGGAGTCATTCTAGTTTGTGTTACAGGAATTATTGTTTTCCTAAGACTTTGGCTTAGAGGAAGATGGTGAAAGCAGGGTTTAAGTTCCAATGGAATGTAGGCATTCCTGAAACAGGAATGTCAAAAGGGATAGATAGAGCTGTGAGGGCAGAATGAGGTTGGAGATTACTTCTACTATGGTTTCTTCTCTTGACCAGCTTCATTGAATTTTTCTTACTAGGACAAGTTTGTTAAAGCCTAGCCTACCAAATATTAACTACTGTAGTCTTTATGAATAAAAACAAATATTCCTTCATGGTGCTTGCTCTATTCTAAACACTAAATGTTATGCTAGAATTATTATCCTGTTAAACCCCTTCCCCAGGAAGCTGAGGCACTCAGGAGGTGGCCAGAAGTTCAGAGCCAGCCTGGCTGCAGGATGAAACCCTTTCCAAACAAAAGAAAAAACCTGCAGATCACATCTGTAATATCTAAAAATTAGCAAATAAAAAGGAAAATTATAAGATCAGTGTTAATTTTTTTAAATTTTCATTTTATGTGCATGAGTATTATGCTTGCATGTGTTTGTTTAAGTGCACATGTGTCATGTAGTGTCCTAGGGGGGCAGAAGCGGGTGTCAGATCCCCTGGAACTTGGGTTACAGATGGTTGTTAGCCGCCATGTGGGTGCTGAGATTAGAACCCTGGTCTTCTGCAAGAATAGCCAGGGCACTTAACCACTGAGCCATCTCTCCAGCCCCTCTCAGTATTACTTTATCCTATAGTATCACTTGCACATTAGCATTATCATATGTGATTACATATTGAATATTTTATGTTATATAGTAAATAAATGGTATTATATGGGGTTTTGGTGTTGGCATTGTTTGTAAGATAGGTACTCATAATTGCAAGCTACCCTGGAACTCTTTATGAAGCTAAGAATGACCTTGAACTTCTGACCCTCTTTGTCTCTCTACCTCCAAAGTACTAGGATTACAGTCATGGGCGGCCACTATGCCCTGTGGTGCTGGGTATGAAACCTGGGGCCTCATGTATGCCAAGAAAACACTCTTCCAACTGAACTATATCTCAGCTTCTGTTTTAGTTTTTTAAATTTGCAGCATATCAGGTTTTGTGTATTTAGTTACATGTAAGAAAACAATTAGTACGAAACAGTTGACTACATAATTATGTTCTTTTTTTAAAATTTTCATTTGAAAACTTAAATTGAGTTTGAATCAGTTGAAGAGCTCCTCATTATTTATGAATTTTTGTATTTCTCTTTTGTAACAAAAAAACATTCCTGAGAAAAAGAAATGTTTTGTGTCATTCCTTGTCCAGCTTTTTTATTAGAACTCTGAGTTAGAAGGTTAATCTGTCATCCAAATGCTTCTGACAGCTCAGTGGACCTTGATCCTCCACAGATTTGCATAATTTTGATCTTACATTTTTATTCTAAAGAATATATTCTTAAGTTTAGGGAGACAAAGTAATTTTTATGATTTATACTGTCTGCGTATGTAAATAAATGTTTTATCTTCCTTAGGAAAAGGAGGAAGAACATATTATTCTAGGAAAATACCTTTCAGTTTTCTGTTGATTTTGTATAATTGAACCAAATGTGTGTGTATGTACATGAGACTTTAAGAAATCACAGTATTTCTGAAAAGGTTTTGATTCTTTGCTAACTATTAGTAGTAATTTAAAAGAGAATCAAAAGACCAGTAATTCAGAAAAGATGCTTTTTCTCCCATGTGTCACTAGATCATACAGAAACCTCCCCACGAAAATACATGGTCTTTTCCAACCTTTAATCAGCTGTTAATATTTTCATTGTTTGTTTGGTTGGTTTTGCGGGGGGCAAATGGGATGGGGTAGATTTTATTTATTTTATGTGTATGGGTGTTTTGCCTGCATGTACATAAGTATAGCACCTGCATGAAGTGCCCACAGAAGCCAGAATGGGACATCAGATCCCTTGGAACTTGAATTACAGAAGGATGTTTGCTACCATGTGGGTGCTGGGATCCGAACTTGGGTCTCTGGAAGAACAGCGAGTGCTTTTAACTGCTGAGCCATCTCTCTAGTCCCAGTGAAGTAGTTTTTTGAGACAGTCTCATGTCTTCCTGCCTCAACCTCCGAGATGCGAGGATGGCAGATGAACACCACCATACTTAGATAGCTGTTGATGTCTATAAGACAGATACTACATTTTTTTTCTTATAACCTTTCTACTAAATTTAAAGTGTGACTATTTTCGCAGTTACATACTGATTTTCTTTAAAAGAAGTGTATCCCCCCATCCCCCATTTCTTTAGTGGCACAGGGGATTTAACCTAGGACCTCATTCATCCTTAGAGGCTTAGAGGAAGGTAGATGGTTTGTGCTAGGTACTCTGCTTGGTGCTTATATAAAATATTTAATATTAATAGTCCTGTTTAAAAAAAAAGTTAAGAAATCCTTAGTGAAGTGATAGTTAAAAATTACAATAGCTGAGAAATTTGCCAGTACCTAAACATATAAAGGCTTTATTTCCAGAGCCCACAATATGCCATAGCCTGAAAATGGTATATTTTCATAGATACCAGAATTTCAGCTTTTCCAAATAAAACTTTTAACACAGCTGTTTTCTTGTCAAATTTTTATGCTTTCTATTGCTGACATTTTTCACATTTTCTTTTTATTGAAGTATACATTTTCACATAAAAGTGATAGAAGTATTAATAGCTGTCAAAACAAATGAACTTAATTCTGATTTCTTTAATAAATGACTGAAGTTTTCTTAAAGGTAATGAAAGACATCCATGAGCTTAGTATTTAAATTGCCATTATTTAATTTATTTTGTGCTTTTTGAGCATGTTATATGTAAAGTAAAAGTACCTAACATAGAATATACTTCATAGAACTATAAAATAGTGTCTTCCCTTAAGGAATTTTTTCTAAAACATACTTCTAATTGTAATGTTGCTTTGGAAACAGTGACAAGGGTCTTGTTCATTTTAGAACTGCAGCTGGGGAGATAGCTTGGCTGGTAACATGCTTGACTTGAAAACAAGAAGACCATAGATTCATTCCCAGAACCTATTAAAGAAAAAAAATGACGGGCATGGTGGCATGTACCCATAATGTCAGTGCTGGAGGAGTATACAGGCAGATCCCTGGGGCTCACTGCCAGCCAGCTCAGCCTACTTGGAGAGTTCCAGACCAGTGAGAGACTCTGTCTCAAAAAAGATGAAAAGGGGAAATAAGGTGATAGCCCCTGGGGAGGTCCCCTCCACATATAACGTATACACATATGCACATGCATGTACACTTCTGCCCCCCCCACACACACACTTGCACACAAAACATGCTTCAAGTTTATAAGATCCATTTTTTAGCATCAGGTGGTTGTATTTTTATTTTTCTACCTGCTAGTGTGTAACTTAACTCTGATGAGCTCTAGAGAAATAAAGGACTGCTTTCTAATATACAGGGAAAGACATTCCTAAATGCTGGAAAGAGGAGTTAATGGTTCATATTTATCACATATGGTATTAAGTATTAAAATGTCCACTTGGTAAATATTTGTTGAATGCCTACTCTGTTTTCCAGGTGTTGTGCTCTTCTGAAATGACTCTCAGGTTTTACTGGTAGCCTAATGTGCCCCTGACCCCTGGGTAAGAGGTAGCATTAGTAGTCCTCTTGTTCTTCAGATAATAGTTAAGGCAATATCTACATCCAACTGTCTCAACTGTTTAGTTTTGCTTATTTTGTTGAGGCAAATCTGTATGATCTAGATTGAACTTGAATTTGTGATCTTCTTACCTCAGCCACCTGAGTCCTGAGATTACAAGCCTGTACCACCACACCTGGCCAGGAATTTTTTAAAGTACAATGTGTCTTATTCTGTATATCTCCCCTAGTACAGATATATCTATTCTTTCCTATTAGCAGAATCCTTTGATTTTATTTTCTTTTTGGACATTATATAAATCTTACAATTTTATATATTTTAAAATTGAATAGGTGCTCCAACACGGTTTTTAAAAAAAGCATTCTGAAAAAGATTTATCTTCATTTGTTATTGTGAGGTTAAGATAGGCTTAGATCCATCTTACATTATACTGTAAAAACGGAAAAAGAAATTATTGTGGTAGGTGCTTATAGTTAAGTTTTAAAAACAGGTAATTGTTTATTAAATTTTGTGAATTTTATTTTCCCTTTTTTTTTTTTTTTTGTCTTTTTGAGACAGGGTCTCCTTGTAGCCACAACTGGCCTGGAGCTCACTATGTAGACCAGGCTGGCCTTGAACTTACAGAGATCTGCCTGCCTCTGCCTCCCAGGTGCCCAGGGTGAATTTTATTTTCTTTAGCTTGTTTCCTGAAGTTTGTTTCATGACTTTACAAAAGGAAGGGGACAGTTTTGTGTATAGATAAACTTAGGGCGTGGTGGTGCATGCCTTTAAAGGAAGCAGAGGCAGGCAGATCTCTGTGAATTCAAGGCCAGCCTGGTCTATATATCTACATAATGAGTTCCACCAGCTGGAGCTACAGAGAGACCCTTGTCTCAAAAATACCAAAAATAAATAAATAAATAGAGAGAGAGAGAGAGAGAGAGAGAGAGAGAGAGAGAGAAATTTAGAAAATTAGATGGTTTTCTGCAGGACTTTTCAGTCTTTAATATGGTTACAGGTTATTGTATTAATATGTCACCAAAGTTTAAAGTATAAGGAATAAGAAATTAGGGTTGAGATGAACTGGGAGATAGTTACTAATGGGTTAGGATCAGTAGTATGGTTTGGATATTAAGTGATGGGAGGCTAAGGACAGGATGCAATTGATAAGTAATCTCCAGCTTCCAAACTAACTCAGTGAATAGTGGTGCAATTTAATGGAAAGAAACTACAACGAGAAGACCAAATATGAGAGGAAACTATGAAATTCAACTAGTTGGGACCAAATTCAAACTTAGGAAACATTCAATTGGGCAAGACATGTCCAGGAAATAATGAGGTAAGATTGTGTTTTGGGAAAAGGGTTTTAAGAATCCCAAGTCTTTATATTACTTGTGGTAGTTTAAAACCACAAGAGTAAGCCAGGTCTTTAAGTGTGTATCCTTAATATCAGCACTTTCAAGGCAGTGGCAAGTGAATCTCTATGAGTTTGAGGCCAGCATGGACTACATAATGAGACTGTGTCAAACAAAACAGAAACAGAAATGAATATCATCTCAGTAGTTAGGTAAGATAAGAGAAAGGGCCCAAGGATGACATTATCAGAGAAACCAGTTTTAAGACAAGTGATAGAGGATCCTGAGCAGAAAACAATAGAACAATAATGGAAAGAATTTTTTGTCTTTAAAAGCTGTGGAAAAAGAGGATACTTTTTCCACAAGATGAAGATAGATAAATATAAATCATAGAGATTGAGAGATTGATTTTGCTTTGATGTAATTATCACTATCATGCTTAACAGTTTAATGTGTTTCTTAAGTCAAAGAAAGGCAAGGAGATTCTCTAAACCTATTAGGGGTGGTGATAGTACTAGATTTTCAGATGATTTTAGAAATAGATTTCTTACTCTATATTCTTAAGAAAAAAATTACCTTTGTCTAAAAGTGTTCATGGGATACTAAAATATTAAAAATTTAAAAATGTTATTTCATAGCACCTTATGTGGGAGGGGGAGATCCAGAAAACTCCTGAAAGAAGACAAAGCCACATCTACTAAGAAATGGCAGAGTCCTGATTCAGACCTATTGATTTGAACTCTTGAGTGCTGAAAGCTGCAGTGAGAATGAAAAGATACTTAAGTGTTATGGAAAATAAGTTTAAAAAAATGCTTCAAGTTTCATGCCAGCATGAACTAAGTTTAAAAACAAGTGTTTTAACCCAATACTAGTGCTAATTTAAGGGGGAGGGGTACAAAGAATTATATTCCTGCTATGATATTCAATGATTCACTTTTGTGTCCCCACCTTACTGTGTGTCCCCTAAGTCAAGAAAGGGTAGCCTTTAAGCACTGAAGTACCTCTAATGTACTACTATTATTATCCAACACAGTTTGAGAAATAACTGTTACAAGTAATTTAACATTACTTACACTAATTTAAATATTTTGATAAAATTGTAATACACAGTATACATACATGTTTGTTATTTCTTTAATTCTATGAAGATTGCATTCATTTGGGTTGAGCAAGTAGAACAAGCATATTTGTTGTTGGTTCCTATAGCACTTTTTATTAACACATATATAAACCCTCAGATATTTTTAGCAAGAAATCTGCTATTTTAAAAATTACTTGGAAATTGCTCCATGCAGTATATCTCCTCACAGGATAATTAAATTTTAGCTTCAGTCCAGTGTTTTAAGAAGAGACAAATTCATATATGTATAAATGTAGCATGGCATTATGAATCTCTCCTGTCAGGAGTAGAAGGGAAATAAGAGTAATAGGGTGAATATTCTCAAAATATTTGTATACATGTATGAAATTGTCAAAGAATAATTTTATAGTTTTTAAAAAGAAAATCTTGTGACATTCTCACATATCTGCATTTACTTGGTTATACTATACCTTTTATAGAAATGTGCTGTAGCTTCAAGCATATAACTTTGTCTTTTAAATCTGTATTGTATGCTAAGAAACATGCAGCAGAGTGAATTAATTTTGGAAGGCACTGTCATTTCAAAACATTGGTAATTTCTAATGACATTTGGCAATGTGTATGTAGCTGTGCATAAAAATATAAATTCTTGCCGTCTGACATGGGCTTTTCTGGCTTTCTGTGCCCAATCATCTGTTTCACTCCTGGTCATATAAACTCACCAGTTTAATTTGAGTATTTCCCACTTTGTGTTTTAACCAACTTCCTCCCCTTTCCCCCTCCCCACATTTCTATCATTCTGGTGTAGGGCATTTCTGATCTGCAATTGCTCTATAGTATGTCTTAGTAAATTTTAAATGCTATCAAAAGCATAATATGTATATTTTTACCTAAAGCATAGTATAGTTAGGTACTTTTAAATCAAAATTACCTAGAATTTTGAAATTTTGAAAAAGAACAAATTTCTAAATAAATCTATTCTGTAATGTGAATGGTTTTACTTTAGTATAAACTCCAAGAGTTTAAAGAAATTTGTCTTAGGGAACATGTCTTTGTTGCACAGAAATATTTGCAGATCAGCTTTGCTGACTACCAAAAATCATAGTGTAATTGTCATCTGATTTTTAGTTGTGCTTCCATGTTGCTGCAGTTAAGTTCTGTGCATCAAAATAATTGGCCTTCGTGTACAAATGTGATTCAACTACATCTTGAGTTTTTATTGAACATATGCAAACTGAGTGAATCCTAATTTTTCCATGTATTTTTACAGTTCTATCACCTCAGCATCTCACATGACATCTTTTTATGTATTAGTCAATCAGGAAAAAGTTGTATCTTTAAGATGAAACTTAAATTTCCTAGTTTTTATTCAAGACTCTATAATTAACACTTGAGACAAAGATCAGTTAATTTTCCCAGAGCCTTAATTAACAGAAGTGTCCATTCCTCTCAAATCTAAGCTTGCTTTTTCTTTAGCACAGTATCTATAAATTTTATGAAAAATTCCCAGTTAAGACACATGAAACTAAACTTGCTTGTGAAAACATTTTCAAACCTTTAATAAAATGTTTATAATTCATTATCTTACAGTCAGATTATATTGTAATAGGAGAAATCTTTTATTAAATCATTAATCCCTCTTAACATGAAGATCTATTTATCAGAACCTTTAAAATTCTACTTAACATTATTTAGCACACCTAGGTAATTATACACAATCATTTTTGAAGTGACTGATAGGTACATAATCATTTGCTTTAGGATTTAAAAGATATTTTCTACTTTGGAATTAAATGGAAACAAAA